CGAACTGCTGAACTGCCGACCTTTTGATTGACAAGCTCAGCATCTTAGCCACTGAGCTACCGCATTCCTTAATCCCTAGCCAGCACAAAAATGTGAAGTTCAGAACAGATTGAGAGCACCATGGAAAGATTTGAGGTGTGTTTGTATGAAACGAACGAACCATCCAAGCCTTGGTGCTGGGCATAGAGTCCAGCAGTTCCTATCAACCTAGAAAAATGGTTTAGTTGAATAGAATAGAATGAATGAGCTGGAAGGGATCTTGGAGGTCTTCTAGTCCAGCCCCCTGCTTGGGCAGGAAACCCTACACCACTTCAGACAAATGGTTATCCAATCTCTTCTTAAAAACTTCCAGTGTTGGAGCATTCACAACTTCTGGAGGCCAGTTGTTCCACTGATTAATTGTTCTCACTGTCAGGAAATTTCTCCTTAGTTCTAGGTTGCTTCTCTCCTTGGTTAGTTTCCATCCATTGCTTCTTGTCCTGCATTCAGGTGCTCTGGAGAATAGCTTGACTCCTTCTTTGTGGCAGCCCCTGAGATATTGGAAGACTGCTATCATGTCTCCCCTAGTCCTTCTTCTCATTAAACTAGACACACCCAGTTCCAACAACCGTTCTTTATATATTTTAGCCTCCAATCCCCTAATCCTCTTCATTGTTCTTCTCTGCATTCTTTCTAAAATCTCAACATCTGTCTTTACATCGTGGTGACAGCTTTGGTAGGGTACCCAAATATCTTAGTCTCCTGCATAGGATGGCTGCTTCTTCTGCAGGCTCCTTCAGAAAATACAACAGTGGGATTTTCCCACCTCCTCACCATTTGTTGGCTCGTAGCATCCGATGCGTCAGCCAGCAAACCAGCATCCCTCCGATTGGAGCCAGGAGACGAGACGAGGTCCAACTATCCACCCCCTCCTTCGTTCTTTCTTTAGCACTCTTCTGCACCCTGTTCCACCCTTCGGTTTTAGCTCCACCGGCCTTCCTTCATCAATGAGAACAGAGCCAGCTTGTCTAAAGTTCTATTTTCAGCATCCGGAGGTCAACAAAGAACCCTTTTCTAGGCTGGCTATTTGCATTGCCGCACCTCCCTTTACTTCCAAGCCGATGAGAAGGTTTTTGTGAAAGCCTTCAAAGGTAGTTCATCCTAGTAAGTATAAGTATAATTTTATTTCTATACCGCCCTTCTCCCGAAGGACTCAGGGCTGTGTACAGCCTATTTAAAAACACAAGACAAACATCAATTAAAAATTTAAAATTATTAAATAAATTCGGCTCAATTTAAAATCCCAGAAATTTAAAATACCCCAATTTAAAATTATTATGTTGATAGTAGTAGTAGTAGTAGTAGTAGTAGTAGTAGGTGAAACAACCTAAAAAGATAATTTGGGGGGTAATGCTCGCCCTGGAAATAGGCTAAGCTCTTATTCTGACCTAGGCTTCCTGAGTCATTAAAACACATGAGTAGTCCCCAAAACCTCTTTTATTGCAACAGCTATGAATTCTGTTCATTCACAGAGGAGTCCCAATTAGTTGTAAAGAGTCCTTCGGGATAATCACCCACCTTTGACACGCTGCCAAAGACCTAATTGATAAACCCACACGGAGTCCAGAATCAAACAGAGCTTCAGGCTTTAAGCTGAACCGAATGAACAAACGTTGCTTCCTGCAAAGGCCCACATGCCTTTGCTCCTCTTTTAAGTCTTATGGGAGGAGCCAATCATCTCCCAGCCCTACTCCCGAATTGTCCCTTTTGTTTTAGCTGTTCTTGCCTTCTGGCAGCTCTGTGCATGCGCGCACTGGGAACAGGCTCCCTCTGTTCCTCTGCCTCGCTGAGATCTGACTCTGGAGGCTCCGGAGGCAGCACGTACCTCCCAGATGGCCCTTTCTCTGCCTCTGACACAGAGCCCTCATCCGAGCCTTCCCCAGACTCCAGGACTGGTCCATGGTCCTTCCCAGCCTCCTCACTGTCGGACTCTGCTGCCAGCTCCGCAGGCTGCTGAGGGACCACAACAGCTCTTTCATAAAGTATGGGTCTTACAGATAGTCCTCACACATCTAGAATTCAGTGATAGAGTTTTAGAAAGATTTGAGACGCTCCTGCTCTTTCTGTTTAGAAATTAAAAATATTGCCTTTTCTGGAAAGTAGATTTTGAGGGAAAAGGTATTGCAGGGAGACATCCGGGGTGGGCTGCTGGGGGTTCGCAGGGGTTCGGGAGAACCTCTAGCTAAGATTCTGTGCAGTTCGGAGAACCCCCAAATCCCACTCCTGGCTGGCCCCGTCCACCCCTCCCCTCCCAGGAGTCCCCACGCGGCCTGTTTTGGATGCAGGTAAGTGCAGGGTGTGCACCAAGGCTCAGGGAGGATGAAAAACGGGCCTACCGGAAGTTCAGGTTTCCGGCCTCCAGAGGGCCTCTGGAGCCTGGGGAGGCTGTTTTCGCCCTCCCCGAGGCTCAAGGAAAGCCTCCGGGAGGGCAAAAACACCCCCCCTCCCGCCGTAGTGTAGGAGGCTAACTAGGCCACGCCCACCATGGCCACACCCATCCAGCAACCGGGCAGAGAACCCCTTGGTAAAATTTTTGAAGCCCAGCCCTGGAGCCATCCCTTTTAGAGGGAAAGGAAATACACTTCAGGGAGAAGGAGGAAGAGGAAGAGGAAAGAAACAGAGCAAGCTTAACACAGAAAGAGGAACTTATCTTCATTCTCTGTATGAAAAAAAATAGACTAACCTAAAAAACAGTTCAGTGTTTTAAGCCATACGAAAAATACTCGTCTTCTCTGTGAGCCCGTTCCTGTGGATTCCAAACCACGATTTATGATGTTAGCATGCCAATCTAACACTGTGCAAGGCAAGACAATTGTGATTTATCGCAGTTAAGCCACCATGGCTTAGGAACTTCATTTTTAAGATTGCACGGCACTTATTTTTCGAGGTAGATTAACACGAATCTTTCAAGAAATATTTTTTCCCCCCGAGTGGGTAATTGCTTTAGCCTTTTCTATCCAAACAAACAAGTTGTCTCATGGTTTTTCAAAGACAAAGCAATGTATTGCTGCCTAAACCTGGCTTCCTTCTTCAGATGCATCACAATGAAGTTATACTTGGCCCGCCGAAGCAGAAAGCTTAATACGTTTGCAGCAGTGGTGAAATCCAATTTTTTTTACTACCGGTTCTGTGGGCATGGCTTGGTGGGTGTGGTGTGGCTTGGGCATGGCAGGGGAAGGATACTGCAAAATCCCCATTCCCTCCCCACTCCTGGGGGAAGGATGCTGCAAAATCTCCATTCCCATGCCACTCTGGGGCCAGCCAGAGGTGGTATTTGACGGTTCTCCAAACTACTCAAAATTTCCGCTACCAGTTCTCCAGAACCTGTCAGAACTTGTTGGATTTGCAGCTCCTTAAGGTGCCCCAAGACTTTTCCTTCTGGATTATGTTATGGACGTGCCTTTGAGTCAGTTCCCAAGACATGGCCTCATGGTTTCATTTGGACATTGGCCAACTCTGCGCTCTGCCTTTCTAACAAACCTAGCTGTCTCACAGCTCATAGGAAACTATTTACGAGGTTTGCAAAATCTCTCCCAGGAATTTCAAGGTCCGTGTGTGAGTCAATCAGGGGGAAAGCACAGTCTTGCCACTCATCTCAGGCTGCTGGTGGAAGGCGTGTGCTCTGCAGTCTCACGCTTAGCCCCAGGGAGCTGAATGTGGGCGGGTGTCTTTGGGACTGTGGGAAAATCTTGAGCCCAGCTGCTGTAGAAAGTGGAATGTCTTAAGGCCCAGGGAATCCTGTTTCGGTCTGCTTCTGCAGGAGGAAATGAAAGAAAAGAGAGGATTCTAGCAGAGGTGAAATGCTCCCGGTTCGGACCGGATTGCCCGATCCGGTAGCGATGGCGGTGGGTGGTTCGGAGAACCGGTAGCAAAAATCTCTGCCCCCCATGCCCAGCTGAGCCGTGCAATCATCAGGGCTTTTTTTTTTTTTTTACTTTTAAAAGCATTTTTTCTACAACCTCTTTGGCCGAAAAAATGCTTTTAAAAGTAAAAAAAAAAAAAAAGCCTCTGAAGATTGTGTGGCTCAGCTGGGATCGTCAGAGGCTTTTAAAAGCATTCTTTCTACAACCTGTTAAGGTTGTAGAAAAAATGCTTTTAAAAGTAAAAAAAAAAAAAAAGTTGGCCACGCCCACCCAGTCACATTACCTCCCCCAAGCCACACCCACAGAACCGGTAGTAACAAATTTTACATTTCACCGCTGGTGCGTTTATGCAAGCCCCTTACAGACCTCTTAGGAATGGGGTGAGGTAGCAAATTAAACAGTAGCAAGTTAAACACCCAGACAACATGATGTTTATTAAGCACTAAGAAATGTAATTAATAGAAAATTAATAATATATATATATATTTTAAAAAGTATTGATTAGTGCCCAGAAAGCTGAATGTTTTTACAATGCTGATTTGCAAACCTATCTGCTTCCTCCCTCCCTCCGCCAACAAGGATGGATTATGGAGTAGCAATAACAATAACAATAGCACTTAGACTTATATACCGCTTCACAGTGTTTTAGAGCCCTCTCTAAGCGGTTTACAGAGTCAGCATCTTTCCCCCAACAATCTGGGTCTTCATTTTTACCCACCTCGTAAGGATGGAAGGCTGAGTCAACCTTGAGCTGGGATGGATGGATGGATGGATGGATGGGGAAGGGAGGGGAAGGGAGGGGAAGGGAGGAGGGAAGGAAGGAAGGAAAATAGCCATAGCATTTAGACTTATATACGGCTTTACAGTGCTTCACAGCCCTCTCTAAGCGGTTTTACAGAGTCAGCCTATTGCCCCCAACAATCTGGCTCCTCATTTTACCCACCTCAAAAGGATGGAAGGCTGAGTCAACCATGAGCCTGATGAGATTTGAACTGCCAAATTGCAGGCAGCCGGCAGGCAGCAGAAATAGCCTGCAGTACTGCATTCTAACCACTGCGCCACTGAATATTTCCCCACCTCTTTCTCTCTCTCCTGCAGATGTTTGGAGTCCATAGTGATGTTCTACCGCCAAGGCCGGGAGGAGGAGCCTTACGTCACCATCACCCGTAAGAAGCATCTTCACAGCGACTGCGAGATCGAGATCGAGCAGGAAGTGGGCCACCTGGTCCGCCGGCTGGTCACTCACCGTAATGCTTTCAAGCGCATGGCGGTCATTCAGGCCTTCCTGGGCTCCACCCCACAGCTCACCCTACAGCTTTATGTCACTGTAATAGAGCAGTACATCCCTCCCAGCAGAGGTAAGGACAGAACAGGGCCAAAGGATGGGGAGGGGAAAGGAAACGAAAGGGATCGTGGGTAGGGGAGATTTCATTTTGACTAGAAAATTTATTTGCTCTCCCGATGAGAGCTAAAAGAAGTTGGGAAACAGATCGGTGTATACATACATACATACATACATACATACATACATACACACACACACACACACACACACACACACACACACACGCAAGTTTGGGTGTATTTGGGTCTTTTCCCGTGTGAGATTGAGAGTATCTTGGCGACGTTTTGACGAGGTCGGCTGTTTTATAACACAAAAGACTAATGGGCACACATCAAGGACCTCACCCACACAGGATGTTACGAAACAGCCGACTAATCTGCAAACATCAACTCCATCAACTAATCAAGATGTAACAACACAGGCAACCAACCCGTTCACAGCAACAAAGCCAGCACCCCACACCTCCCCACCAGTATTTATAGAGAGACGGCAGCTCCGATCACGCTTTCCTCGCACAAGGACGAAGCCGAAGACACCAACCTGAAGATGACGAGTGGGACCTCATCGAAACATCACCAAGTTACTCTCAATCTTACACGGGAAAAGACCCAAATACACCAAAACTTGCATTCTTCTACCTGTGAAAATCTACGAAAACACACACACACACACACACACACACACACACACACACACACACACTATATTAAGTGTTTTTCTATTGAGACACCTGGTCTACCCCAGCATGTGGGAGGGAGCATACTGCATCCCTTTCGCCTTTCAGCTCCAATCCAGAAACCCTCAAGCAGTCGCATTCACGAGAAACCATTTTATACCAATAATATATATAAATATACACACACACATATATATACATGTACATCTCAGAGTTCAGATGTGCTGGTAGAGAATTTGGCATCTTCTCAGATCTGATAGGCTATCCTTGCAGTAGGAAGTAAACCAGAGATGAAATGCTCCCAGTTCGGACCGATCGCCTGATCCGGTAGCGATGGAGGCAGGTGGTTCGGAGAGTCGGTAGCAAAAATCCCTGCACACCCCCCATGCCCAGCTGAGCTGCGTGATCATCAGAGGCTTTTTTTTTTACTTTTAAAAGCATTTTTTCTACAACCTTTTCAGCCAAAAAATGCTTTTAAAAGTAAAAAAAAACCAGCCTCTGATGATCGTGCGGCTCAGCTGGGCATGGGGGGTGGTGGTGCAGGGATTTTTGCTACCGGCTCTCCAAACCACCTGCCTCCATCACTACTAGATCAGGCGATCTGGTCCGAACTGGGAGCATGTCATCCCTGGTTTACTTCCTATTGCAAGGATAGCCTATCAGATCTGAGAAGATGCCAAATTCTCTACCAGCACATCTGAACTCCGAGATGATGTGAAATTGTTGTCCAGCAACACCACAATAATGTGTGTGTGCAAACTGTTCGGCCTACTGCAGAGAGGGGAAATGTTCAACTTCTTGGATGCACACAGCCATCTGAAGGTCTCCCATCTGCCAATCCAATATGGCTGTTGTACCGTCCTGGCTGTGATAATATTCACTAAAATTCTATTCTTAATACAAATGTAAAGGTAAAGGTAAAGGTTTACCTCACACATATGTGCTACTCATTTCCGATTCTGGGGGTGGTGCTTATCTCCATTTCTAAGCCGAAGAGCCAGCGCTGTCCGAAGATGTCTCCATGGTCATGTGGCTGGCATGACTCAATGCCAAAGGCGCACGGAACGCTGTTACCTTCCTACCAAAGGTGGTCCCTATTTTTCTACTTGCATTTTTTACGTGCTTTCAAACTGCTAGATTGGCAGAAGCTGGGACAAGTAACAGGAGCTCACCCCGTTACGCGGTACTAGAGATTTGAACCGCTGAACTGCTGACCTTTCGATCGACAAGCTCAGCGTCTTAGCCACTGAGCCACCGCATCCGCCTTAATACAAAAATGACCCCCAATTTCCTGCTGTCACTCAGCCCCCTGATATGGCCTTGCCATTTCCACTTTAACCAGTTTCCAAAAACCCAAAAGCGCGGCCCCGCAAATATTGCCATCTGGGTTGTAACAATTTGCCCATTAAACCGAGCATCTGAGTCATTCCTTTGGCAAAAAAAAAGTTCTTTTATCGTCGTTTGCCAGTGAGCTTTTAAAGACTAGGAAAAGAGACTTTCAGCCAGAGCCTCGGCTCAGTTGCCAAGATCTCAAGGGATCAATCCAGGAGTGAAATCCAGCAGGTTCTGACAGGTTCTTGAGAACCGGTAGCAGAAATTTTGAGTAGTTCGGAGAACCGGCAAATATCACCTCTAGCTGGCCCCAGAGTGGGATGGGAATGGAGATTTTGCAATATCCTTCCCCCAGGGGTGGGAAGGGAATGGGGATTTTGCAGAATCCTTCCTCTGGAGTGGGGTGGGAATGGAGATTTTGCAGTATCCTTCTCCTGCCACACCCACCAAGCCACACCACGCCCACCAAGCCACGCCTACAGAACTGGTAGTAAAAAAATTTGGAATTTCACCACTGGCTCAATCTAGACTCTTCCAGAGGATTCTACAATCCTTTTTAAGACCAGAACGCAGAGCCCGTGTTTTAAAGGTTAGAAAAGCTGCAGCGCCCCATGGCTGGAAAATAAAAGACTGCCTAAAAGGCTCAGAAAAACATCTGGTTGGCAGATTCTGGACAATCGAGTCTCTGGAACATGGGCTAGGTGTATAAGTTCAGTAGGTATGATTTTTTTGTGCTCCTGGTTTAGGAGCTTCTGTGCTTCTGTGCAATTCCCAGGGGTGTGGTTCCAATAATTAGTATTTATAAAATCAACTGCAGGTATTTTAATTACCAAGCACGAAGGCATTTTGCCATCTGCTTTCCGAGAGGGATGTCACCTTGGAAACATGCAGATAGGTAACACACCCATCCAACTGATCCAGTGTGAGTTAGTGCTGTGAACAGCCCACCTCATCCTGATCTTTTCCAGATGTGGCACGATGTCAAGTTTATTTATTTATTGATTGATTGATTGATTGATTGATTGATTGATTGGTTGGTTCGATTTATATGCCGCCTTTCTCCGGAGACTCAGGGGGATTTACAATGCATTAAGCAATAGCCTTCATACTTTTGTATATACCTGCTTAGTAGGGCTTTCGGCCCCCCCTAAGCGGTGTTCTTTTTTAAACAAAGTCAGCTTATTGTCCCCACAATCCGGGTCCTCATTTTACCTACCTCGGAAGGATGGAAGGCTGAGTCAACCTTGAGCCTGGTGAGAATTGAACTCGCAGTAATTGCAGGCAGCTGGCAACTAAGTGCTGCTTAACAGCACTTTAGTCCACTGCACCATCAAGGCTCCTAATCCCCTTCCAGGAATTTCTCTTCCTTTCCTCCTGAATGAATGAATGAGTGAATGGATGGATGCTTTCTTGAAAATAGGCGCAGGGGTGAAATTCAAGATTTTTCCCTATCAGTTCTGTGGGCATGGCTTGGTGGGCGTGGCAGGGGAAAGGATACTGCAAAATCTCCATTCCCTCCCCACTCCTGGGGGAAGGATATTGGCTGGTTTTTCTTTATATTCATATCACAGTATCGTCGGTCTCTAAATGTAAAACAGGGTTTCACAACTGATGTTTGAGGCTCTGTCACAGACATCGAGTGTACATTTGTGTGGGTGGTTTGGGAATCTTTGAAAGTCAATTCCGCATTAGCCTTTGCCAAGGAGTCGGTGACAAAATGTACTATTTTCCTCATTCCGTATATTTTCCATATTTCTCCAGAAAGATTCTCTAACCCAGTGGTGGAATTCAAATTTTTTTATGCCCGGTAGCTTGCTGGGCGTGGTGTGGCTTGGTGGGTGTGGCAGGGGAAGGATACTGCAAAATCTCCATTCCCTCCCTACTCCAGGGGGAAGGATATTGCAAAATCCCCATTCCCTCCCCACTCCTGGGGGAAGTATACTGCAAAATCTCCATTCCCACCCTACTCAGGGGCCAGCCAAAGGTGGTATTTGCCGGTTCTCCGAACTACTCAAAATCTCCGCTACCAGTTCTCCAGAACCTGACAGAACCTGCTGAATAGCACCCTTGCTCTAACTCCTCCTACGCCGATTTAACCCAACCGAGAATTGGATGAAGGAAACACAAGTTAAAAACCTCTCAGGCTTTCATATCCAAACTCTCCAAGCTGGTCCATGGCTACGTTCCAGTCAAGGAAATGAACTCGCCCCCAAATCCACAAAATTCCATCTTCGTACAGAAAATAGTCTACGGAATCCGCTCCTACAAAACTCTGCTTAGATTAAGATGAAAGGGTATTTTGGATTTTAACTAGGCCATTCTTCTGCTTGACTAACCAGTCTCACTGGTTTCTTTTAGCTTAGCTCAGCACACCGTCTCTTCTCTTAACTCCTTGTGTGAACTTTCAATATACAGTAGTGGCTAAAATTGTGGAAACCTTTTTGGGAAAGGTGTATTTTTGAGTTTTGATGGCTAATAACACCACTTTTTTTTTTTTTTTTGGAGTTTCAAGGTAATCCTACTCCACTGCTGGGATGGCCTGGGAATAGCCCAGATCTTCTTAACCCAATTGAAAATCTATGGAGCTGACTAAAGAAACTTGTTAATCAGAAGCGACCCAGCAATAAAACCCAATTAATAGAAGCAATCCTTCAATCTTGGTTTCACATTATAACAGCTGCTAAATGGCTTGAATCACTCCATGGGAAGACGTTGTAAGGCTGTAATTCATGCTAACGGTTACCCAATGAAGGATTAACTGTCACGGTAATCATTTTTGCGTATCTCGTTTTTTTCTAGGGTGATCACTTGGGAAAAGTGTATTTTCTAAAACTAGCTAATAAGACCACTTTTTTTTGGAGTAGTACCATAAAATTATATATCGATGGAGAGATAATTTAATCAAGAATGTAATGCAATCGCTTTGATGAAGGATTTGCTGTTAGAGTAGCAGTTACAGTATAAAGAAGAAAAGTGAAACACGTAGAAAAAACAAGATATACAAAAATGATCACCATGTCAGTTAATACTTAGTTGGGTAACCTTTATCATGAATGACGGCCTTACAACGTCTTCCCATGGAGTGAACCAAGTCTTTGAGTTCTGCAGCTGTTATAATGTGAAAACCAAGATTGAAGGATGGCTTCTACTAACTGGGTTTTTTTGCTGGGTCGCTTCTGACTAACAAGTTTCTTTAGTCGGCTCCATAGATTTTCAATTTTGGGCTCAATTGTGGCTGTAACTTGAGGACTACCCGTAGTAATTTAACAACGGCAGTGATTCCCAGCACCTCTAACTTTTACAAGTTGATCATGGTTTGCTCTTCATTGATCACTCTTCCTTTTTGCTTCCCTGCTAGCTGTCCTGATGAGCATGTGCTTACTCTCCGTCACGTATGGCGCTTTGGTCTGCAACACCCTGGCCATCCAGATCAAGTACGATGACTACAAGATCCACCTCCACCCACTGGCTTTCATCTGCATCATCTTGTGGAGGGGTTTGGAGATCTCAACCCGCATCACCATCTTGGTCCTCTTTGGGACCGTCTTCAAATATTACGGCTTGGCCGTTGGGGCGGCCAACTTCTTGATCTTCTTTTTCTTACCGTGGGTTGAGTTTTGGAGAAGCGGGGCCAAGTTGCCCGAGAACGTGGAGAAAAACTTCAGCCGAGTGGGAACTTTGACTGTCCTGATCTGCATCACTCTGCTCTACGGCGGCATCAATGTCTTCTGTTGGTCGGCTGTCCAGCTCAGGTTGTCCAGGCGAGACTTGATTGTCAGGTCCCAAAACTGGGGCTGTTTAGCTTTATTCTATGTGTTCCGTGGACTGGAGAACAGCCTGCTGCTCCTCGTTTGGTACTTCTTCAAGACGGAGTTCTACGAGTACGTCTGCACTCCCATGCTTGTGCTGCAGCTGCTTGTGGCCTACTGCCTGGCCATTGTCTTCATGCTTTCTTTCATGCAGTACCTGCATCCCTGCCGCCGCCTTTTCACACATAACGTCACGGACTTCTTGCACTGCGTCTGTTGCCAGAAGGAAGATGTTGCCGTCTCGGTTGATTTGGAACCACCTCGTGAACTCGGTGTGAGGCACAGCGTAGTATGACAATCGACACCCTGCTGATGGGATGATGATCAATCCCATCCGGTTTCAAGATTCAGGAGTGGTACCTGTTTACCCCACCGGGATAAGCCTTAATTTCACGGTGCTATGCTATAATTTATAAGCAGGGATGCAGGCGATCGTGGTGGTGATAGCTTCTGGAGCATCAGCTGGACTTATGATAATGGGCTGTAGCCTAGTGTTGTTGGTGCAGGACTAGGGCATTCAGCAGAGACAGCAGTAGAAGACTTGACACATAGTATGAAAGAGGAACTCTAGTTGATGGGGCAAACCATCAATGAAGGATGACCTCTTCTAGGTGCCAGCAGTTGGACACCAGTTGGACACCAACTGCCTTGGCTGTGTTCATTTCCAGAAATGGAACTGAAGGACACTCAGCTGGCTCAGAACTATTGTAAGAAGTGCAGAAGAGTGGCCAATGGAGACTGTCTCAGATCTGTGGGATCCTGCACAGTTGGGTAAAACTTCAGAGTGACTTCCCCAGCCATTCCTTTTATTTATTTGAAAACTTGTGAAGACTTTATTATTATTATTTTTTTGTAATTTGAAGTGATGGAAAAGATGTTGCAGTTGATAGCAACTCGGTCTCAGAATTTGTTTGGGTTCCTACAGTTCCATTTATGGTCAGGGGATCCATGCTCAGGCTGAAAGCTCAGGATGACGAGTCTCCTAAGGAGCCCCGTGGATGGAGGATGAGCTTTGGATTTCTTGCCTCCAGATCTTCAGAGGTGCCGCAGCAGGTTGGCCTTCCCAACTGCCCTGGAAGGACCACGCTAGTGGCCGACTACTACATTAGGGGCATTCTTCAAGGGAGAAAGGGCTGAGGTTGAACATGTTGAGCTTGTGATGGGAAACTGGACCATTCCACATTCAAGTTCTGGTTTTAGGAGGTGATCAGCTCATCATAATTTGGGCTGTTGCCTGGGGAGGTAAGCATTTCCCATCACTTGGCTGGACCCCATGCAAAGATATACTTAAAAAAATCCATTATGTTGAAGTGCTCAGGTCTACCAATCCAATTTAGCCAAGCTTCTTGGCCTCCCAAAACACTTCCCACTGTATGTAGTGCACAGATGTTTCTGAATACAAGCTCATCCAGTAGGTGAGTCTTCAATCGAAATCCTTGTGAGGAATATGGGTTGACGTGTCGAGTTGCATACTTGAGGCCCCCAAACAATTTCCTTGTATGAACTGATTTCTCCTTGTACCTCTCCTCTATTGAGCTAATACAAGGGTGTCCAAACTTGGTAACGTTAAGACCTGGGGACTTCAACTCCCAATATTCTTCAACAGCATGGCCGGCTGAGGAATTCTGGGAGTTGAAGTCCACAAGTCTTAAAAAGACCCATAAAATAGCATGCCATCCTGTCTGTAAATCGTGGCCTTCTAACACCAGTAGTCTTGTATTTTTGAGATGCAGCCACTCACTTATCCATGCCAAAGCTGCTGCCTGATAACATTTTCCCCAATCTGGCAAACCGAATCCCCCTCTTTCTCTTGTAATAAACTTTAATCTAATTCTCGGGTTTTTTTTCCCTTGCCAGATGAATTTTGAAATAGGTCTATCCAAATTAGTAAAAAAAAAAAATCTTTTTTGAGCCGAATTGGTATGCCCTGGAATAGAAACAACATTTTTGGTAGGACATTCATCTTAATGGTGGCTATCCTGCCCATTAAAGATAGCTGTAATTTTCCCCATTTTTCCAAATCAGACCTAATTTGTGCCGTTAATTTATCACCATTATCTTCTTTGAGTGTGATGCATCTTGCAGTCAATTGAGTTCCTAAATATCTAAGTTTTTTCGTAGCCTAAATATTTATCTTTCCCTCCAATTCTTTTTTTTTTCTTCAGTCATATTTTTGACTATCATTTTTGTTTTTTCCTTATTTATTTTTAGGCCCGCTACTTTCCCATATTCCTCTGCATTAAGTTTGATTTGGAATTACTAATAAAAAACTTTTTTAAAAAAGTCTTTAAAAGACTTGCCAAGTTTGGAGACACCCCCAGAGCTAACAGAGACACCAGACTGAGTTAAAGGATCACTTTTATGTGGGGTTTTGATGCCCTTGTGTGGAAAGTTTGATCTGCGACCATCCTTCCTCTTCAGGATTATTTCTGCCTGAAGGAGCAGGGAGAACAATGATTACTTCAGCAGTAATAATTCAGGAAAACAAAACAAAACACAGAAGAGGAGGATGAAGGTTAGGCAGCAGACAATAGAAACATACTCTAATTGGACGATAGCAACTGCCCTCATAACTACTCATAATGCACTGCTGTATGGCTATCAGCCTATGACCTCCCTAATGTTGGTTGACGTTGGGAAAAAAAACAGTTCCAAAGCCCTGAATCCCATAATAACTAGAGGAAGATACACAATTGATGCTAAGCCTAAGAGTAGGGGCAACACAGTATAATTCAACTGTCCTTCGGTGCTACATCAAGATGGCCTCTCCGGAGCACTTTGTATATTCTCACTTGTATAGTGATTTTCAGGTCAGCCTTTTCCAACCCCCCCCCTCCGATATTATACATTGTGACTTTTACCATCAACCGCTAATATGTAAAAGTTAGACCAGTGGTGAAATCTAAAATTTGTTAGTACCGGTTCTGTGGGCGTGGCTTGGGCGGGGGTAATGTGACTGGGTGGGCGTGGCCAATTTTTTTTTAACTTTTAAAACCATTTTTTCTACAACCTCTTCGGTGAGGAGGTTGTAAAAAAATGCTTTCAAAAGGCTCTGACGATCCCAGCTGAGTTGCCTGATCGGCAGAGGCTTTTTTTCTTTTAAATGCCTCTGATGATCAGGCAACTCAGCTTGGATCGTCAGAGGCTTTTAAAAGAAACAAAGCCTCTGCCGATCAGGCAACTCAGCTGGGATCGTCAAGAGGCATTTAAAAGAAAAAAAGCCTCTTGATGATCGCGTGGCTCAGCTGGGCATGGGGAGGTGGGCGGGGATTTTTGCTACCGGCTCTCCGAACCGCCCGTCTCCATCGCTACCGGATCGGGCGATCCGGTCCGAACCGGGAGCATTTCACCCCTGGACTATGTCCATCTTTACTTTTTTGCCCGTTCTCGACTGCGAATAGGAAGGAAAGAAAAAGGAGCGTCTTTAGAAACAATAGTCCATTCTGGATTGGCCTTTTAAATAGCCCGATTTGAATCCGTACATCCGTTAAATCCTCACTGCCTGCGTATTGTCTGCAACCGAGGCATTCGTCCGTTCCTGGGATGGAGACCTCTAACCTGAAATAAACCCGACTTCAGGGCAACGTTCAGACGCTCTTGCCTTCCTCCATTTCATGTTGAACAGGAGTCCGTCTTTCAGCAACGGAGCATAAAGCCAACCTAGCAGATACTAGCCGAGCCAATTCCTCGGGTTGAATTTCACCCTCTCCGGTTGGCTTTCTGAAGACAGCTGAACCCAACCAACAGCTGAGCCAGCAAGGAATGATCACCTACCTCAAGGAGAGATTTTCCACCACTGCCTTTTCCGACTGCCGTTCTCTGGGATTAAACCAGGCGTCCAGATTAGGTTTTGGGACCAGGCAATTTTAAGACTAGAGGCACAATTTATTTTCTCTGATTCTCCCTTTCTTTTTAATGCATCATTTCCTACAGGGAGTCCATTGCGGCCAGGAACTTCCCGTATGTGATTTTTCATGACTGGTGGTTTTTTCCCCTTCTCCCTCTCCCTCTCCCTCTCCCTTTCCCTCTTTCCTCTCCTCTCCCTCTTTCCTCCTTCTCTTCTCTTCTCTTCTCTTCTCTTCTCTTCTCTTCTCTTCTCTTCTCTTCTCTCCCTCTTTCCTTTCATCTCCCCTCCCCTCCCCTCCCCTCCCTTCCCTTCCCTTCCCTTCTCCTTTTTTCCCCTTAAACGAAGCAGCCTGCGTTTAGGGATTTAGGAAATAAGACAAGTGCAGCAATTAAAAAAAATCATCCTAAACTACCTCTTTGAAATGACAGATTTCCCTCTTTTTTTTGCTGCCGTTTCTTTGGGTAGAAGAGATGTTTGGAAGAATGTGAGGGCTCTGCAAATAAAGTATGTATTTAAAAACAAATCTATTCCTTTTCAAAAAAAGGAAGCTATTCTGAAGGTGTGTCGAGGAGTTAAGCAAAATTGCAAAATAAGGTGTTTTTTTCCCCCTCCCTTTAGATGGAAGGTTTGAAGATTATATGATGGATTGGTTCCTGTTATTTATGGAAGGAAAAACAAAACTCTTCCCCATATATAGAAAAATAGCCTGTTTGGGGAAAGAGTTCCCTATACAATTTTCCGAATCCAGCGTGTCTCAACCCATCCACCCTCCAAGTACCCAGAATTACCACACTTAGAATTTGCAGCCAAGTTTAGGATTGAAATCAGATTGTTCTGGTCTAGCCAAAACCTCATTCAGAACAGACCACACATTTACTATTCCTAATTAAAGCATCTGTTTTTATATGCATGAACCTTCTGTTTTTGATATTCAGGTCGAGTTAGGAAACCTATTTAGGCATAAGGTAGCATTTATAAAAAAAAAGGTATTGAATCTCAAGTGTTCGGAAACCTTAATGTTTACAGACATATTTCCCTCTGCAAAAAAAAAAAAAGCTTCATTAAAAGGCTCTTATTAAACTAGCCAAGGAAGATTAATCATAATCAGGGGCCATGAAAAACTTATTCCTGAAATAAAATACTTGCCCAGCTAAACGCGTGTGAGAATTCCATATATTTTGTACCATACACAACACCACTCCATGCAATTGTGTACTATTATTTCATGCTATATTTCTCTCCGTTTATAAGAAAAACAGGAAAACTTATTTTGTTTTTGTTTTTTAAGCTGGATGGAACATAAGGCCTTGCAATGCAGCTGCTGGAACAGCAAAAAGATATCAGTGGTTATATGCCCACCTGTTGACAAAAGTATTTTAAATGGCTTAGGTCATGCTTTTAAATATAGAATCTCAGCTCAGGGTGGCTTTGCTTAGCATCTGATTACCGGTATATCCGTGAAAAGAAGCTTAGCGACAGACAAAACACCTACCACTGGGTGGCAGAATTGATAATACGATGCGGTATTAAGGAAGGTCAACTGTGAAGCAGAACACAAAAAGGGATAACCTCAGGGGTGGGATTCAAAAATTTTAGCAAGGGGTTCTCTACTCGGTTGCTGGGTGGGCGTGGCCATGCTGGATGTGGCCTAGTTGGTCTCCTGCACCATGGTGGGGGGGAGGGGCATTTTTGTCCTCCCCGGGCTCCGGAGGCTTTTCTTGAGCCTCCGGGAGGGCAAAAACAGCCTCCCCAGAATCCGCAGGCCATCTAAAGGCCGGAAACGGGGCCTTCCTGAACTTCTGGTAGGCCCATTTTTCGCCCTCCCTGAGCCTCCACATGCGCCCTGCATTTACCTGCATCCAAAACGGGCCATGTGGGGACTCCTGGGAGGGGAGGGGCGGTGTGGGCGGGGCCATCCAGGAGTGGGATTTGGTGGTTCTCCAAACTGCACAGAATCTTAGCTAAAGGTTCTCCCAAACCCCTGTGAACCCCCAGCAGCCCACTCCTGGATACCCTCGATTCAAAAATGAAAACTTGCATTTGAAA